TGGCTACTTAAGGTTTTGTATAACTTTGTGCATGAATTGTTTTTTCAAAAAATGTGAAGGCTTCAACTTCCTGTAAACAACATTCAGTCCAGGAATGATATATGTCTCTTTGAAGAAACAGAATCTATAGGAATTATCTATTTATTTATATACATAGAAAGATATATATATTTATAGATACATATATAAATATCTACATATAGAGATAAAAATATACATCTCAGGAAATTCAGGTAGGACTTTTAGAGTCTTCAGGCAGGATTTCTTCTTCTTTGGTAAACCCCAGTTTCTGTCCTTAAGACCTTCAATTTATCAGATGAGGCTCACTCACATTATAGAGGGTAACCTCCTTCACATAAAGTCAACTGATTATATATGTTAAGCACACTTACAAAATACCTTCACAGAAAAACTACAATTTTAATTTTATTTTTATTTATTTGAGACAGAGTCTTACTCTGTTGCCCAGGCTGGAGTGTAGTGGTGCCACCATCTTGGCTCACTGCAACCTCCACCTCCAGGATTCAAGTGGTCTTCCCTTCCCACCTCAGTCTCTCAAGTAGCTGGGATTATAAGCATGCACCACCACGTCTGGCTAATTTTTGCATTTTTAGTAGAGATGGGGTTTCACCATGTTGGCCAGGCTGGTCTCAACTCTTGACCTCAAGTGATTTGCCCGCCTGGGCCTCCCAAAGTTCTGGGATTACAGGCGTGGGCCACTGTACCCAGCCAGAAAAACCTAAATTAGTGTTTGATTAAATAATGATACTATGACCCATAGACACTGAAAATAAATAAATAAATGATAACATTGTCAAAAGTGTTTAAACCAGAGCAACTTCATCCTGAATAGAGGCTTGGTAAAATAAGGATGAAACCTACTGGGCTGCATTCTCAGACAGTTAGTCACAGGATGAGACAGGAGGTTGGTACAAGATACAGGTCACAGAGACCTTGCTGATAAAACAGGTTGCAGTAAAGAAGCCGGTAAACCCCACCAAAACCAAGATGGTGATGAGAGTGACCTCTGGTCGTCCTCACTGCTACACTCCCAAAAAGGGGAGGCATAAATAATCTACCCCTTGTTTAGCATATAATAAAAACCATAAAAATGTGCAACAGGCAGCCTTCGGGGCTGCTTTGCCTATGGAGTAGCCATTCTTTCGTTCCTTTACTTTCCTAATAAACCCGCTTTTACTTTGCTGTATGAAATTGCCTCAAATTCTTTCTTGTGCAAGATCCAAAAACCAATCTGTTGGGGTTTTCTGTAGAGACAGGGTCTTGTTATGTTGCCCAGGCTGGTCTCAAACTCCTGGCCTCAGGTGATCCTTCTACCTCAGCTTCCCAGAGTGTTGAGAGGCGTGAGACCCTGCACCTGGCATTATCACTATGTCTCTTGTCAGGCAGGCCCTCTTACAAAGTTGTCTCTAGCTGGGCTCTGGTAACAATACTTTCCAAACCTTTCCCTTTCAGGTCTAGAAGTGCTACTAATTCACCAGTTGTTAGTCTGTTTCACCACTCCTTGTTAATCCCCTTAACACTGCCCATACCTCTATATGGGTTCTTTTCAGTTCAACCCTTTTAAATACCAACTATTTTTCTGCCAGGACTATGATACACTAGAAAAATAATAAATGGCATATTTTCTTCTCCTTTATACTTCCATTCATTCACTTCGCAACACTTGCAAGAGAATCTCCTCTTTTTCCTCTAATCCAAAGCCTCCCGTCCTCCCAAGTCCAACAAGTCTCTCTAAATACTCTATTACCTACAGAGCAACACTGTTGTTACCACTCTTGTGCTGAACCTAGTGTGACATCAGCACTCTTGTCCTTGTAGTTCTATGACTGTTCAGCTTTGCCAGTCTGGTTATCCCAGCAGGGCAATAAGCTCCTTAGGGGCAGTGAACTTAAGCAATTAGAATCTCAAGTGATAAACATATTTTAGCTGGAAAGAATCTTAGAGGTTATCTTGTTTAACTTCCTTATTTTACAGATGAGGAAGTTCAAGCTCACACAGGGAAAAAGTCTTTCTCACACAGCTATATAGTGGCACAGTTAAGTCTAGAATCCAGATTCTTCCTACTACTTCACCACGCTTTGACGCTGCACTGGGTAATTAGTAGGCACTTAATATGCTGATGACCCACTCTTAAATTTATAAGGGGTTTTTGTCTCTTTTTGTTCAACGCTAAGCCTCATGCCTAGATGAATACCTGGCACATAGTAAGTGCTCAAAAAATATCTGTTACATTTGAACCCAGGACCAAGCAAGACAAATTCCTTGGAAGTTAATTAGAACTCAGAGGATCATTTATAATAATCCCCTATACACTTAGAGAAAATGTATAGTTTTTAGAGTGCTTTCACATATATGAGCCCATTTGATCCCTCTGAGGTAGACATGCAGGAATTACTAGTCCTAGGTAACAGATGCAAGTTACTGAGGCTCTGAGAAGTTAAAGGTCATCTCCTGACTAGAATGTAGCAGAGCTGGGCCCAATCTTCTGACTCTTACTTCAATACCATTTTCATTATTTGTCGCTTCTTCAGCTTTGCCTGTCTGCTTCTGGACTTGGGAGGATCATTCAGGGAGTCAGTCCAAAAATTCACTATGAATACATGGGCTACAACTTAAGCTGAAAGATGTGATTTTTCTTCCTTAAAAGTCCACTGCTAAAGGTACTTCTGTTCTAATTCTGATTAGATATAGCCTACAGAAATCAGTGGCTAATTCAAATCTGAAAGCCTGCTGAAACCATGGGTAGCTAGCCAGAGTTTGACACTTCCCTCTGGAGTAGGCATCCTATAAGAGAGTGGGAGGGGCCGGGCGCCGTGGCTCACGCCTGTAATCCCAGCACTTTGGGAGGCCGAGGCGGGTGGATCACGAGGTCAAGAGATCGAGACCATCCTGGTCAACATGGTGAAACCCCGTCTCTACTAAAAATACAAAAAATCAGCTGGGCATGGTGGCGCATGCCTGTAATCCCAGATACTCAGGAGGCTGAGGCAGGAGAATTGCCTGAACCCAGGAGGCGGAGGTTGCGGTGAGCCGAGATCGCGCCATTGCACTCCAGCCTGGGCAACAAGAGCTAAACTCCGTCTCAAAAAAAAAAGAGAGTGGGGGGGAATGATAGCAAATGTGCCACTTCAGATCAAGTATGGGACAAGGATTATTACTTCTCAGAGAATCTGAATAGTGCTGGAAAAGTGGAAAACTCCCTGAGTTAACAGGAATGTGCAATTGCTGGAGATTTGGGGGTATCTGCTTCATGAAAATAACTGGAAGAATGTGTGCCCTTTAGGAATTTTACGGGGATAAAGCCCCCTTTCTTAGCTAACCTCGACAAATATGTCCTCTGTGGGAGTGTCTGGAAAACCAGTATACCCCAGTATGGGCAGCGGTCTCAACAAAACATGAGGAGGGATACGCTGGAAATATTGAGAGGGTAGATTGAGGGGAAAAGGTCTCTTCAAGGAATATTGGGAGGGAGAAGACGATAACCTCTACACGGGCGCCCCCTTTGGGCGCCTATAGCTCACCGTTGCCGCACAGCCTCTGACTCCAGCGACAGCCATCTTAACGCACCTTTCTGCGCAGGCGCTGTAGAGCCCCAGGGTCCGGCCTAGAGCAGAGCCCCGCCCACAAACCACGCCCATCTCCCATGATCCCGCCTCTGGCCACACCCCTGTCCTCAGGCGCCCGACCCATGTGGTTTCCCGAAGGAGGGGGCCTCTGGCTGCCGGTCAGGCTTTGAGGTACCTGAACTACACTGGCCGCTGGGGGAATGGAAATCAAACACTCAGATCCTGCCTTTGGGTAGATCACAGACTGAGGGGAGACAGACAAGTAAATTATAACAATGTAGAGTGCTCAGATACCGGAGCCTAGAAAGCAGTAGAAAAGGCTGGCAGACATTCCAGCAAGGAGAGCAGGAGAGCAGCATGTGCAGGCACTGAGGGGTAGGAGCGCACAATGCCTGTCAGGGACTTGCTGGAGCCAGTACTTTAGAATAGCTGCAGGATGGGGGGAAGGGGGATGGTGCCGGTTGCGCTATCTTGGAGGGTCTTGGAGTTTCGGCATGGAGGCTGTCGTTGACCACTGAATAGCTTTAATAGGAGAAAGATTTATTAGAGTGTGTAAAGAGAGCAGGGGAAGAACGGAAGCAGGGTATTGTGACAGTAACTCAGGCAAGAGGACCTGAAAGCTGCCACGACTCTTGTGGTAGTGAGAACTGAGGGGACACAATGAATTCAAGAGGTAATTTTGAGGCAGAAATGTGAAGTGGCTAGCTTGGGAGAGGAGCAGGGAGGAGGAGGAATTTTTTAAATGAGCAACTGAACTCTAAGGATTTATTTAGCAAGCAGTGGAAACGGACCTAGTTCCCTGCCTGGTGCCCCGTTAGTCCCCGCCCCACAAGTAATGATAGGGGAGGCTGAGAGAGTAGATGAGCACTATGTTGCCCAGGAGCCCTTTTACCTTATTTCTTCCCCTTTGGGAGTAGGCTTTCTACTGCAACTCTTCTTCCTTGAATAGAGCCTGAATAAAAGGCCAAGGTACAGTCCTAAACCTAATCCTCTGACCTGTCTGTGGCAGCCTCAGCCCTCTGCCATGACCTGCAGGCAAACTTCTCCCCAGTGGGCCCCTGCCTTGTCCTTACAACCCAGGCTGTGATCTGTCCTAGTGATTCTGGACAAAGGGAAAAGAATTGACTAGTTTTCACCAGAATAACTCTCCTGCTACTCTTTTGGACCTTTTGCAGGAAGCTGGTGCCATAGGTCCCATGACTCTGTTAATTAGATGTGTGGTCTCAGGTCTAGGCCAGGATGTTAGCCCAGTGGTGTTCATCCAGAACCACTTTAGGCTTCACCCACTGGCTGTCAGGTATGGGTGTCAGGGAGGAGTATGAAGCAACAAAGGACCACTAGGCCAAAATCTGCCATTATAGAGGAGTCATTTCCACGGCTTTCCACACATTAGCAGAATTACCAAACCCCAAAGGCTGCTATGAGATAATTTATTATGGATTAGCCTATAATCTCCTGTAACAATGGCACATATAATAATTAACAACAGCAAAGATGCTTGGTTTCTTGTTTCATGTAATGGTCAATACATCTGTGGACAATGCTGAGTCCTCAGGAAGTCCAGGAGGCTGCTACAGAGGAAATCCAAGAACCTTATCACATCTCTGAGCAAGTCTTGGGAAGTCCATCTGACTCTCTGAAATAGTTTGACCTCCCAGGTAGTGTTGAGGGCCCCCTCCATCCAGCCTGTACAGAGGGATCAGAGTCCAGGCTCCTCCTGTAGGGTTGAATATCTAGGAGGGGAATAACAAATAACCCAGGTGAAAGAGAGAGACCAAAGTCTAGATTCTTTCTGCAAGGCAGAGGACAGCTAGAAGGCAGTGGCCACAGATGAGCAGGACTCTTTCTAGATTTTCTACAATTTTTGGCTTTGTTCAGGGCCTACCCAAGAAGAAAATACTCCTGGATCCTTCAAATAGCCCTCAGGTAGATACATGTTAGAACAGCCTATCATGTCTTGAAGTATCACTCCCTTGCCTAGAGGAGTGAGGTAGGGAGACTCCCAGGCAGGTGGCCCCTAGTGTCTGGGGTCCAAAGAAATATTCTGCTTAGGGCTTTGAAGCACCACGTGAACTTGGTTCTACTCATGATACAATCTGGGGAAAGGGATTAGCACAGTTCATTTCTAGAAGGTATCTTGTTCAGTTTCAAAGCCTTGTTCTCATTGGGGCCATAGAAAATCAGTGGAATCTAAATTCTATTCTATGTACTCCTGCCCTGGCCATACTCCAATCCAGACAACAGGGCTCAGCAAAAGGCTTAACTGACTACTCATCCAGCCAGGCACAAGTTCCATACCCTCTAAACTTGTTCTTCTAATGATTGGTATGTATGTGTCTAACTGGATAAGGTATGGCATGGAGACGAATAGAGGTGGGATGTGGAGTGGAGGGGTGTCTACCAAGAATGGCTGACACTCTCAGAAATGTCTGTCTCTCTCTCTTTATGGAAAATCTCTCCATGTGGTAACCCCATATCCCAGCCCCTAGTACCACAGTCCTGCTGGTCAGTGCTTCATGACCCTTTCTGTGAAAAGCTACATTATCACCACCCCAAATTTTTCCTCAAATATCTTTAACTGAAGGGGTCAGCCTCTTGACTGCAAAGACCCTAAGCTGGTTACACAGCCTACTCCCACTGGCCCTGATTTGTGAAATTGGTGCTGCCTTATTGGCATAGAAGCCAAAGGTGTTTCAGCTCCCCTCCTCCGTGGAACGAGACTCTGATTTGAGTTTCACAAACTCTCGGGCCACCTCGTCATTGCTCCTCTGAGACAAAATCCGGAGAATGGTCAGGCCTGTCTCATCCATGTGGATCTTCCGGCCCAAGGGACACCAGCAGGCACAGCTGCCCTTGGCTGTGACATCCCTCAGAGGCATCACAGCCAGCCCTAGCACACGATCTTCCCGGGCAAAGCAGTAATCCTTCACGCATATCTGCAACTCATAGGACTCAGGCCCCTCTTCATTTCCCAGGAGGCTGTGAGCACAGGATAGAAGTTATGAGGCCAGAGCTGAGATCCTCAGCTGATTTCAGGCTGCCATCCAGCCCAGCCCTCCTCTACCCGCACCCCCTCAAGTTTTACTCCCATCCCTGAGTCCTGCAGGTTCCCCACACTGTAACTTACAAGTGAAATGTTTCATTGTACTTGGGGGCCCAGTTGTTGCTTTTGGACTTCGTTGTGAACTTTCTCTTCTTATCACTTTGGTGTGGGCCAACCATGGTCACCTCCACAAAAGGCCGGAACATACCCGCTGTCTGCCATTTGAGGTCATTGGCAGCCACCACTGCCCAAACAAGGGAAACCTGTAAGGGATCCCACCAGGAATTCCCAGTTCTTGAACCCCAGGTGACCTTCCCCTTGGAGGAGGGCTGAGCTGGAGGGTTGAGATGAGCAGCCCCTGCCTTTGAGTGATAAGTAAGGCCACTGGGCAAGGAAAGGGCAGACCTGTAAGTCCATCACTCACCTTTCACTGTGACCTTGTGCTCCCCAGTACCAGGGTGTGTAAACAAGTCCACCTGAATAGAGACTTCTCCCACAGGATCATCCACACCAGACCCTGAGGACAAATGGAGAGATGATCCCCCATTGGAGAACTCTAGGGGGTAAACCTGAGAGGTGAGGAGGCTACCATCCTATACCCAAAAGCAAGAAACAATTACCACAGTAACCATGGGAAGTAAGCAATAGGAGAAGGGAAAGCAATGGGATAAAGAAAAAGGCTGTGTCTTGTAACACAACTTAAGCTGACAGCATCTTATGCGCAATGTTTTCCAAAAGTGCACTAAGACTTTCTCTCAAGGATCCCCAAAAGTCTATCTCCTAGGCTGAAGGATTTTTCATTGAAAGATGTTGGGGTAGGACAGTGCCATCACCTTGTATCTGTGTCTGGGAATTATGTCAACCTGGTGGTGTCTCTCAATGAAAAAATGTGGGTCCTCTGTAACCAAAAGCAGCAACCTCCCACCTATGCCCAGGATTCCTAGAGGTCCCTGGTTAGGAGGCTACTGTGCTCTGAAAGACTTCACCCCCCTCCAACCGGGGCCCCTACATAGAACGAACTCCCCAGTTCAAAACTCTGAAAGCCTATCTACAGGCTCCCCTTAGCAGAGGCCCCACCCTATTTTAAGAAAACACCACTATCTTACACCCCGGAGAAAATCCTTCTTTGTCCTGAGGCAAATGGGTGGGAGAATGCTGAGAACAGGACAGACATCAACAACAGAACCCCTTCCTAGGTTATATGAAAGCATTACCCATCTCTAAGACTTGGGATAGAGCTCCTAAACTTTGATAGCTGGTTCCCCAACCCCTAGCACAAGTTGCTCATTCTAGCTCCCAGGGGTCGGTGTTAGCCCATGTTAGATCTATATCTGCATAGTGTACAACATACCCTTTTCCGGCCGAATGTCCTCATTAGCAGTAAATCTAATACCTTTCCCATCATGCACTGAATGAGGACAGGCAAGTCAGAGGTAGTAGCAGCAGCAGGACAGAGAAAGAAGAATCAGTTAGCAGTCTAAGGAGTTAACAGCCATTCAAAGCAGCTCTACACATATTCTGAGGGAACACAGAGGTGGGGCAGAGTGGAGAAAGTGAAAGAGCTGGGGTCAATGTGTGAATGCTTCAAATTAGACTTCATGGGTCAGAGATCAACCAAATCATGGGCAGAAATAGTAGAAAAATACAGAGAGGAGGTATCTGAGAGCAGTGAGACAAGAGAGAGGCTGTAGGCGCTAATTTCCTAGACCCTTAAATGATAATGCAACGGGTAGAAAATGTACACATAAACACACAGATTCTTCCTGCAGTCGCCAACCCTGCTTTTACCGTATGTGTGCCCATTCCAGACTCTCCTCATGTTTTATCAAGCTTAAAGCTCAATGCTTCTAAAAAGCCTTTCTGGATTAACTCAGATCTTCCTTGATGGTATATGCCTGCACATGTACCCAGTTCTGTAAAATTTCTCCCTATCCCCTTGAATAAGACTCACAGCTCTTCTTTTGTTCTCTGTTCTTCCCACCCTGGATTAGAAATGAGAATAGATGAGAAATAGAGCAGTACACTTCAGGTCCCTTTCATTTTCTCACCTTCTATCACCAGCCTATCTGCTTAGACCCCTCTCCCCTCTAGGTCAGCCCTGTGCCCCAGATTCACACACAGCTCAGTAATGCCTAAGGTGCCAATTTCCCCCACCAGGTTCAGTCTCCCAGGTAGCCTGCTCAGGTTTCCTTGGAACCAGCCATAACAAATGTGCCTGAGGTGCCTCCTGGGAAGGCTCTCACCAGCGTCAGAATTTCAATCTGAGCTATATCTTTGCAGATATGTTTTGTTTCGGACAGGCCATGCTGGAGGTAGGGAGGAGTTCTGAGGACTGAAAGTCACTGGGAGAAAACCAGCTTCCTGGGTCCCCTGTGCATAAGTATCACCCCTGAGGCTGGAGCCTCAGCTGTGCACAGGGCCCCGAAATCCACATCCTCCCTCAGCAGCTGCCATGGTTTGCCTCTCTTCCTTGTCTCCTCATCCATGCTGCAGAGTCTGGAAAGTCTTTTGCCTTCTCTCCCCAGGAAAACTCCCAGCAAAGCTCCCCACACTATGTATGAGCCTTCACATTTCTCATGGTTTCCATTCATTCTCAAGGCTTCCTCGCAGATTTTTCCTTCTTCTTGCCGCTTACCAGTCAGGGTATACTCCTTGAGCTCAATAAACATGCATGGACCAGGTAATGTCTGAGAAAAGAAATCTCAGACATATTTCCCAGGCCTCTGTGATTCTTCTGCCTGGTAATGGGCATGAGGTAGAGGTAAGTACTGAGGTCCCATCAAGTAATTGAGATCTGACTTTGAAGGGCTCTCTGAGGAAGTTAACGTCCCCAAGGGCATGAAGATACAGACTCCCTAGGGGAAGATGTGTATCAGAAAGAAGTGGAAACCCAAAGCCCTCAGGGCCTTACCCTGGGTAGTCTGCGAGCGCACAAAGGTCTTGATGAGAGTGTCAGTGGTCTGTGTATACAGAGACAAGGCATAGCGTAGAGACTGCAGATCTGGGCTCTTCTCCAGGAAGGTTTTCTTCAGTCCATTGCCTCCTGCGTGGAAGTATTGCTGCAAGATAAAAGAACACCTGTGACTGTTTCATCCCCTTACAGAAAGCAGCTCCCCAACACTGTCCTCAGAGAAGCAAGAAGAGGACTGTGAGAATAGGCCATTCAGGAAAATCCACAGAACCAGAGTCATAGTCTCTTGGGTGAAGAGTATTATTGGGGTATTTGGCAGTATTGGCAGGGATGGCCACATTCCTGGAGGTAGGGTGGTGTTTAAAGGATGAGTCTTTCTGGACAAGCACAGTAATGGAATAGAAGCATTTCAGGTAGGGAGAAGAGCCAAAAGTGCTCTTGTGCACTTTCACCCAACTGAACCTTAGAGAACTTGAGACCTATGATATACCTCTCCCAGGTGCCTTGAAGCACAGTTCGTATGTTCCTGCCTTATTACTACCTTACCAATTACAAGCATCTTGAACTTAACTAGATCTGATTCTCTCTGTATTCTTGACAGTACATAGTAGCTCTCTTCTGGATGTGGAGTGCTAAGAGCTGGAGGGACACCTGGTCTGGCAAAGTGGAATACCCGGGCCAAGTGGGTGTGATGGTAAGACTGTCTGAAAAAGGGGAGGTCTCCACCTTGATGGTGTCCAGGGCGAGGTCAAGGACTGCACACTGCTTTGGAGTGAGATTCCGTGATTCCTCTCGCACCATGTGATCCTGGAACCCCAGAGAAATCAGCAGCATCAGGACAGCTCAGGATAGTCATGAAAGTCTTGTCCCACCTGCCAGCCCACAGCACATATTCATCCCCTCCTTTTCCTCTTCAGTCTCCAAAGCTTCAATTTCCTTCCCCCAGGCACCTCTCTCCATGGCCTCAGAAGGACCACACATGCCAGGAAGACCCCACACCCGGAGTACCTTGAGTTTGGAAAGATGGCTCAGCTCCTTAGCAGCAGTGAAGATCAGCTGGGTGCCCTGGGCAGAGAGGGAATCAGTCAAAAGCAGAGGACCCCACCTCCATGAGGAAGCAGGGAGTGAGGGGAAGGGAGACAGCAGGAGGAAGTGGAAGGAGGTGTCCTTACTGTCTGGTCAGTGAGCGGGGGCAGAACAATCATTCTCTCCATTGTATTCATCACCACCCGCCAGAGCTCCTTCAGTACACGTTTCAAAACTGTCTTCTCACACACAGTGGCAAAGAGGGTGAGGCTGCAAGTCCAGGCAATAGGTGAGACCAGGGTGAGAGTCTGAGAACCCCTGTCTCTAAGGAGCTCCCCTGTCCGATGGCCTCTGCTTTGCTCATCCCCACAGGAAAATCCTGAATGGTGTACTCACTTGCCATCCAGGAAGTCCATGAGAGGCCGGAGCACGCTATCTGCATCCTGAGCTGCTGAGGCCCTGGCATCCGGAGATGCATTCCCTGTGCCCCGAACCTGGCCCAGGATGTCGGCCATTTGTCGAACACACTCATCAATCCGTACCTGGAAACTACACATGTGCCCGCAGTGCAGCCTTCCCCTCCCCAAATACACACGGTCCCTGGAGCAACACCAGCTATTTGCTCCCATTCCCACATGCTCATGGTGCAGTTCCAGCAGGGACAATCAGCAGGAGTACAGGGAAGATCCACACACCTGCAGCTGTATGGTGAGGTGTGGGGCAGAGTTCTGGGATGGGCCAGGGACCACATCTAGCACCGAGGGCCTTGTACTATGGGGTCACTGACCTGTTTCCAAACACCATGCTGAGCTCATCCAGAACTGTATTCAGTTTCACCTGCAGCTCCTTCAGACTGTCTGCAGCTTCAAGGTCCAGCTGTATCCACAGGAGGTAAGCCTGGCTAGGCTGCTTCTCTTACCCTCTTCTACAATGCCGCACCCCTACTACTGCCTCGAAGGGCCTTACCCCAATTCCTACTCCTCCCTCACAGGGCCTTACCCCAATACCTATCTCAGATTAAGCCAGCCCAGACCCCAAGCTAAATTCCTGGCCTAAGAGAGGGTGGAGGTCTGTGGCAAGCTCAGGAATAAAGGGAATATGCAGTGACTCCCAAACCCTAAGACCTACCTCCTTGCCTCCCATGGCCTCAAACATTTTCTCCAGCTGGACCCTCAGTTGCTGCATGTTGTTCATCAGGATGCAGGGCTTTGGGGACAGATGTAGCTGTTGAGTCTTCGCTCCTTTCAGCATAGGGCCCATTAGCCTAAGGTCCCTCCCTCTCTCACAAAAGCCACAGGGACTTCACACATTACATAAGTTTCTCCCTAAGCACGAATTCCCCTTGACTAAAAGCAAATTTTAACAATTTTAAGCTGAGTGGTAGGTACTCGAGTATTAATGTATTATCCATTATAACTCTTTGAATATCTTAAGGTTTTCATTAAAAAAAAAAAAAAAAAAGACTAAGCAAAGGTCTAGCTTAGCAGAGGATAATGTACTAAATGAGACTCACAGGATCTCTGTCAAATTCTTATAATTTTGTGGCATGGATCTGAAGCAAAGCTGTGGTGGGAATCAGACATCAGGAGCGTCACCCCAACCCTCAATTCTGAGGACAGCTTCAAAAGCAAGAGGGATTCAAATGTCTTCCACTCTTTCTCTAAGAGTCCAAGGGCCTGAACCTACCAGTTTCTCCTTTGTGCAATAGGCTGGGAAGTCCTTTGACAAGATGTCTGCATACTGCATCAGCACCTTCCCGATGGTCTGAGAAAAGAGGAGAAAAGGAAAGGAAAGGGAGCACTTAGTTCTTCTACAGGGCTCTTGCCTGAGGTGGCACTTATCATCGCAGAACAGTAACAACAGGGAGGTAAAGGGGGAATCTCACAGTAAGGGAGAAAGACCCCTCTCAACCACAGAATACTACAAAGACAGAACCATCTGTCTGCCCCAGAAACAAGCAAAGGAGAATGGGGGTCACACAAAGCTTTACTTGAAGGCCACAGTGAAGAGGTGCTGAGCTCAGGCCTGTGATGTGGCTATGAGTGTAGTGGTGGTAAGGGGGAGGGAGTAGGCAAGTATGGTTACCTTAGCAAACCTCCTCATGTAGTGGGCAAGGATGCTGGGGTCCGGGCATTCTAGCTTCCGGATGATCTCAAAGCTCTGATTGAGTTGTGTGAAGACGTCCACCACAGAGCAGGAAAAGAGTGCATGCTCTGATGTCTGCTGGAACTAAAGACCACGCACAGAGTCACCATCCACAGCTGCTATCTTTTCCTAAGCTTGTAGAGTTTGAAAAGGCTCTGCCCAGCAGGGGTGGCTTGGTGGCCCTCAACAATGCTTCTACGAACTCCACAGGGCAGAGAGAGCCATCCTGGCTAAAGCTTAGGAACTTCTGCCAATAGCTAATTGCTGGGAGACCTGGCCTGGCCCCTGTGCAGCCAAAGCCCCTCACTTACTCCATCCTTCTTATCTCGTTCCAGGGCCCCACGCAGGAATTCCAGGGATACATCCTCATTCTCATCCAGCCATTGTAGCACAAACTGCTCAAACCACCTGCAGCCAGAGCAGGAGAACTGGGGGTTAGAGCTAGTGGTTGGAAGATGCCACATCCTGACAGCTCCACCAGATTGGGATCCTTTGGATGGCAGGGCACAGTTTAATACACTTCTCTGTCTACACTGGTACCTGGAACAGGCAGTCCCCAAGACTAGCTTGCTGAAATGAATTGTGGATACTAGCCCTGCCCACCCAGAGGGCCCTCTTCCCTTCCCTCTGTAGCCACATGATGACTCACACTGGGTACTCAGGCACCTGACCCTGGAGGACAGGCAGATCCCGCACGTATTCATTGTGGAGCCACTTCACCTTGAAGTGCAGGTTCATGTAGTCAGCACTCTTACACAGGTGGTCTTTCTCATGCTCTGGTGGTAGGGAGAGAGGCTAGGTCAGGTCCCAGCTGTAGAGGCCATGGTTTCTGAATCTTCCCAAGGCAGCAGATCTCGTCAGGTGGCTCTATCAGATGCCTTAGGACAAGAGTGACTCCCAACTTCCTTCTCACAGTCATCTCTCCCTGCCAGTGTTCTGCTCAGCAACTCTCCACAAGCCCAAATCTTCCTCTAGAGAGACTAAGCCAGACTCCCACATAAAGCCTACAGTCTTTTTGCTCTCGCGTTTGGAAGTGTAGTCTTTTTGCTCTAGTGTTTGGCCTCTGGTGAAGAAGCGGAGAAAGGGCCATGGTGCTGATGCTGATTAGTAGGGAGACTGCCCAGGAGTATAGAGCGCAAGGTTTTCCAGGGCTGTTCTAATCACAGTAGCTGAGCCATCCTTCAGACAGGCTTAAAGGCAGAAATGAGCAGGTGTACATGGCATGAATGGATCAGTGACAACTACACAGAGACAGGGAAAACCGAACTGGGCCCAACTTGACAGGAAGAGCAGCTGGGCAGCCATGGTGTAATGGAATCTTTGAGGCAAACTGATGGGTTCCAGGGCAGAGCTAAGACACTGAAAAAAATGAATTCTCAGGGAAGTATGCAAATATGAATAGTCAGTTTGGAAACGATGGAAACACAGCCAGATGAAAGGATTATCATGCTGCAGAAAATGGGGCACTTATTATGAACTGGAAAAGTCATCTAGTTGAATCTCCAGAGCCTTCTGGAAAATCTAGGACAAAGATCACTCTCAATTTGCTCAGAGTCTGGAGCACTGGCCACACCCACAGGTTCTCTTCATCTACCCCCTTTATAGTTGAAGCACTAATTTGAATAATAAAATCAATTTTATGCTGACACATCAACATAAAAGCAAGCAAATGTGGGAGAGGACTAAGGACAGAGAATAGAAGGCCACTATTTGTGGCCTGGACTATGTTGTGGCCTGGACTATGTTGCTCAACTTTGAATTGCCATGGGTGATGCTCCTCCAAGTCAAGGCAGAATATCCAGGCTGGGGCCGCTGGCCCTTGTGAGTTAGTGCAGCAGACACTGAAGGAGGAAATGGAAGCCCAGGATTCAGCCTCAAAGGGCTTCAAGTCCCAGGAATTTCATCCCCTAGCACTGCAGGCAGCACTGTCTCCACCTAAAGTTGCATTTGCAGTCTCTTCTATGAAGCAGTGAGCAGAAGAGGGAAAAGGTTTAAGACTAGAGGCAGAAGGACAACCAAAAGTTCTACCACCCGGAAAGAGGACTTTTCGTATACGAATGACAGTGGTTGCTTGTGACAGAGCAGAGACACCAATGAGCAACAAATCGAGTGAAAAAATCAGGGACATCAGAAAGACCCTCAGGGACATCAAAAGAGAGACCCTCTCTTCCACCCCTATCCCCTGCTATTATTATTATTTTTTTTAATTGCTATTCTTAAACCAGTCTAAGAACCCAGAAATGGGCCAGGAGTGGTGGCTCACACCTGTAATCCCAACACTTTGGAAGGCCGAGGTGGGTGGATCACAAGGTCAAGAGATTGAGACTGTCCTGGCTAACACGGTGAAACCCCATCTCTACTTAAAATACCAAAAATTAGCTAGGTATCGTGGTGGGCATCTGTAGTCCCAGCTTCTCAGAAGGCAAAGGCAGGAGAATAGTTTGAACGCAGGAGGTGGAGGTTGCAGTGAGCTGAGATCGCGCCACTGCACTCCAGCCTGGGCGACAGATCAAGACGCCATCCAAAAAAAAAAAAAAAAAAAGAGTTTGTGAAATGAATGTTTTCAAGACACAAACACTGCCATGCCCATCAGGTGTGCAGAGCAGGCCTGAAGATCGTGATGAGACTCCCTTTTCAGCAGCAAAGCAGGAAGTGACAGTTGTGGCCTTCCTGGTGGCCAGACTTCTAGCATCTTTAGCCACCCAGACAGCCACCAAATGACATCACATAGAGAAGGCCTCAGAAAAGGAGGAGGGTGTATGGACACACAGCTGATGAGGGGTCAGTGCTCAGCTACCAAGGTCCACTTCTGGCCTGGTTGTCTCCCACCCCCAGGATGCATTCAAGGCTACACATCAGAAGCATAAATAAGGGTAGTCAACTCAGGCCCACTGGCAGCGACAAGTAGCCACTGACAGGGGGTCTGAGGCCATTCAGTGCAGAGCAGCTCCCCCACCCCAGTGGCCATCTTCACACTGCAGCGCAGGGCTGGCCCTGATGCCAGCCAAGTGTGCAAAGTCCTGTTTCTTTGTCTTTACGTAGGGACCTGGGCGATGTGCTTTAGAGAAATTCCCTATTATTTCATGGGAAAGGGGTCTGTGAAAAGGAGAGGGCAGGTTTTGGAACCAAGTTGACCTGGTGTCAAGTCCTGGCTCTGCCTTTTTTTTTTTTTCTGAGACAGGGTCTTACTTTGTCACGCAGGCTGAAGTGCTGTGGCTGTATCATGGCTCACTGCAGCCTTGACCTGCTGGGCTCAGGCAATCTTCCCACCTCAGCCAGAGGCGCTAGGACGCCAGGCACATGCCACCACACCCGGCTAATTTTTATATTTTTTTGTAGAGACCAGGCCTCACTATGTTGCCCAGGCCAGTCTTGAACTCCTGAGCTCAAGCAATCCTCCCACCTCAGCCTCCCAAAGTGCTAGGATTATAGGCAAGAGCCACTGTACCCAGCCTCTGCCTCTTGTTAATTTGACAACATCACGTACCTGCTGCGCCTGCTCCTTCCTCTGTAGAAGAGGGTGCTGGTCTTGCCCTTTTGAGGCCTCCATGAGGGTCAAATGTGTCATGGGACACATAGAGCCATGCCTGCGCAGATCTGTGGAATAAACAGCAATTCTGAGCAGGCTCATTTTAAATGGACTTACAAATTTGGGCCTTCCTTGTGTGCCTTCCTCATAAAACCCACTCCTCCCAGGATGTGCTTGGAAGTACTGCTGTATTTACCTGAGAGCTATGCTTTTCCTCAAAAATATAAACGTGGTAATCTCTTGCATGAGGTGTGGCCCTGCACCCTCACCTGCTTGTGGAAGGAGTCTGAATTGGCAGTGACCTGCGCGCTAGGGTCTCTGCTGGGGAAGTGGCAGGTGTGTGGCCCTCCCCTGGCCCTGTAGTGAGTGTGGCTGGCACCTAACGTTGCCCTTGTGGGAAGCTCAAGGGGGCGCTTTCTACTCCAGGCTCCTTTCCTTACTGGGAGGCCTTGAGCAAATAGCTGCCACTCCCTACTTTTAACAAATTTTTTTTTTTTTTTTTTGNTTATTTTAGACAGCGTCTCGCTCTGTCGCCCAGGCTGGAGTGCAGTGGCGCTATCTCTGCTCACTACAACCTCAGCCTCCCGAGTAGCTGGGATTACAGAGATGTGCCACCACACCCGGCTATTTTTATATTTTTAGAAGAGATGGGGTTTCACTATGTTGGCCAGGGCGGTCATGGACTCCTGAACTCAGGTGATCCACCTGCCTTAGCCTCCCAAAGTGTTGGGATTACAGGCATGAGCCACCATGCCCGGCCTATATAAGCTTCTGACAGAACATTTCATCGTGGCTAGATTTACCTTGCCCCTATTTCTTACCATCTTAACATCTCCAGCTGAAGTGGAACAGAGTACATCAACTAATCTTACCCTCTTGTTCAATGCTGAGAATTATCCTCAAATCTTCCTTCTGCTTCTTTATTTGTATCCAGTTAAATCACCAGCCCCTGATTTTGCCCCCAAATGTCTCTAGAATCTATCCATTCCTTCTAGTCACACTGTCACCTGCCTAGGTCTCATCACCACTATCTCTAACCTTAACCTGGATTACTACAACAGCCTCCAGATTGGTCATTCCGCCTCCCAATCCATTCTCCACACTGCAGACCGAGCAAGTGGCCCTTCTACATAATAATCTGATCATGTTAATCCCTTGCTTAACATATATCAGTGGCTTCCAACTGCCTCAAGACAGAGTCCAAAAGTTGGCTGGGTACAGTGGTTCACATCTGTAATCCCAACATTTTGGGAGTCTGAGGTAGACAGATCACTTGAGGCTAGGGGTTCAAGACCAGACTGGCCAACATGGTGAAACCCCGTCTCTGCTAAAAATACAAAACTTAGCTGGGTGTGGTGACTCATGCTTGTAATCTCAGCTACTCGGGTGGCTGAGGCACAAGAATAGCTTGAATCCAGGAGGTGGAGGTTGCAGTGAGTCAAGATCACACCACTATATTCCAGTCTGGGCAACACAGCGAGACTCTGTCTCAAAACAAAAAAAAAGAAGAAGAAAAAAAAGAGTCCAAAGGCCTATGCATGGCTTACAACCTCCTTCATGATCTGACTGTCATATCTCTCCATCTTCATGTCTTATTTATTTCTTCCCCTACCCTCTGAAGTGCTAGTCACACTGAACTACTGCTGCTTCCAGTTCTCCAATCATGCCAGATCTCTCTAGATCCCAGCCTCTGCATGAAATGTTCTGTCTCTCTTTCTTATCACTACCACTCTCCTGGCTAAGTCTTATTGCCCTTCAGGTTTCAGCTTGTATATCACCTCCTCCAGGAAGCCTTTCTAGGTTCTCAGAGTCTGGGTTACATGGTTCTCCTATGTGCTCTCAGCACCCTATGCTTACTCCTCTTGTGACATTATAACTTTGTGTTGTAACTGCCAATTTATATGACTGTTTTCTAGACTGCTCTGTGAGCTTCTTACAGGATGGTGCTATGCCTCATTTATCTCATTGGATTCCAATAACCAGCACAGTGCATGGCACAAAGATAATATTCAATAAACATTTGATGAATGGAGTGGGCATTTACTGTAAAGCGGCAGGAAGGAACTTTTGTTTCATATTTTAATTGGGAGAGTTGTAACACAGATAGGCTTACTTGTCAAAACTCATCAAATTATATTCTTAAAGTAGTCTTATTACATTGTACATAAATTATACCTCAGTAATGTTGACTTACAAAATATTTGGCGAAGGACAGCATTTTCAACTTTCCTTTTATAGTCAGATTCAATGCCACTCTCCTACCATCCAGGCCTCCAAACTCCTCCCCTTCTCTTGCCCTACATATTCTGAGAATCATCAAGTCCTGTTCTGGCTTCCTTCCAATGTCTTTCAAAGCCCATTCTCCTCTCTCCACTTCTCTTCTCTAATCCCAGTGCCCTCTCCTCCCTAAGTTATTACAACAGCTCTTCGTTATCTGCATTCTCTGATTCTGGTCTCTCCCTGGTGCCCTCATCTCCCACTGAAGTAAATCTTATTAAAATGTTACTAAAAAGTAAATCTTATTAAAATATCTATTAAAATAAATACATTGCATCTCTGCTCATGAGCCTACAATGGTTTCTTACTGTTCTTAATAACTAAGATTTAGTCAGTGCTTAGTAAGCGCCAGAGAATGTGCTAACCATGTAATAAACATCTCAGTACTTCATCAGTTCAAAGGAATAGATGCTATCATCACTCCCATTTTACAGATGAGAAAATGGGAGCTCATAAAAATTTAGTTTGGACCAAATTCACCCTGCAATGTAGGCAGTGAAATTGAGGTTTGAAATCAGGCCAACATTAATTCTTTCTCTTAAAGTAGAAGTTTTGAATCCTTTTGTGTTTGTTTTAAACATTAGCAGAACTCCCCTTTCAAAAAAAATCTCATCTAGAATCCCACGTAAGATTGATAAAAGCAGGGCTGGCTGAGCTGGCATCATGTAAAAGAAGCCTAGCCTCTGGGTTTCCCTTTAACTTAGCTCCTGAGATACTTCTGTTTGAAAACTTCTGTTCCACCTCACACTGCCTCTCTTATGGAGTTGATTCACTTTTCACAGGTATTTTCTCTTTTCCCCCAAACCAACTGGAGCTGGAGTTCTTCAAGAACTGAGACTGTACTCCCCATCAGGCTAAATGGCATCTGGAGGGAGAGACGAGTGACCCCCTCACTGGCCTGACAGCAGGGAGCCCTGCTCTGGGCTTGTATTACAGAATACACATGTGTAGTCTGTGGCTGGCTCAAATGTAACACAGATCTTCAAGGTTCTTTCAGTCTCAAGACTCACTGATTCTAAACCTCACAAATTTAAGAGTCTGAGGGTGGCTGATCTGCCCTGCCATCCCACCCAAATAACAGATCCAGACTCTGCTTTGTCCTTGCCCAGATGGCTCCTCCTCCTCCTAGGTGGGCTTTCACAGACTGAGGAGACAGACTACCATACATACAGGCAGGAAAGGCTGCTAAATAGGTGAGTGCAGATGGGTACAGATGGGAAGGTCTGATACAGGTAGGGAGTGATATCTTTGTGGACCAAAGTAGGAAATGAATAAAAGAACAAACTGAATGAATAAGATGAATAATAATTTGCCTGTGGCTCTGCTCTACAGGAGAAGTGAGGGAAGAAGTATCTTCCTGGCATTGGAACACTAATCCAGAGCAGCTTTCAAGAAAAGCCAGGCCAGAGAGTCCCCAGCATAAGAAAACAATTATATCTATCTGCATATTTAAGGTTCTCTGATTCTTTAAAACTGAAGTTTCACAAGACCATTCTCCAGGAAGTAGGCCACCTAAGAACACCCACTATGGGAGAAGCTGATCTCTAAGCTGGGAAGGTCTTGAACAGGCAGTTGCTTCAAAGCTAGAAGGAGTAATCTACATCCACACAGCCATTTTCATTACTTCCTTTGGCTGCAACTTTGCCCTCCCAATGTCTCCTGGGGCCTACCTCCCACCAGGCCTAGAGTTCCTTTTGTTTCTCACTATACCACTCACCCAGAACTTGCAGTTGTCTAGAAGAGGAAAGGGATAATGAACGAGGAGTTTGGGCTAGAAGCCTGGCAGCCCACTGATTTAGACAGACCCTTACCCTCCAATGCATATTTCATGTCTTGGGCAAACAGATGCCACATCACTTCTGCGCTGACTTTTCCCACATTCAACTCCTGAGGAAACCTGGATCACAGAAGAAACCAAAGTCAGAGAATAAGGCAAGAGTCACTTGATTTGATTCATTTCAAGGCTAAAGTGCCTAGTTCTTGGAAGTCATACTGGAGAGAGGAGAATCCTAGGGAACAGGGCTAAGTCCAATCTGGAGAAAAGGGACCCAGGGGTCTAGGGGCCAGTGGCAGGACAAATGGGGGCAGGACAAGTTGGGTTAGCCCCGTAGGCAAGATGGGGCTGGGGCAGAAGATGCCCAGAAGACAGGGAATTTAGAGGCAAGGGCTGGAAAGCAGGCTCAGGCTAAATAAGCTAGAGGAGAAAGGGCAAGGGGGTGGGCTAGAAGAAGTCCCACTTTATTTCCAGTGGACAGACACATATACACATTGTCTCTGGATCCCCTGGGGCTCCTATGGCAGCCACAATCCCAGAAGCCTCTCACTTCAGGGAGGCTGGTTCAGTCTGGGCAGGGACCCCCATTATATTTCCACACCTGTCTCCAGAAACAGTTACCCAGACAGATACAAGGGACAGAGGGACAGATGGACGGACAGGAAGAAGAGGTGGCACTGCAAACATACAGAGACAGGAGAGAAAGAAGTTGTTAGACAGATGGACAAACCAACCACCAACATACAGGGCCAAAAAGGGTGATACTCACTGGTTCAGAACAGGTGTGTAGGAATTTTTATCTTCCTCTATGATTGACACAATGAGTGTGATGAGCTTTGGCCAGAAATCCAGGTTCCGAATGCTGGGCCCTTGTTCCTCTGGAGGTAGTTCCTGCATCTTGATCCAGAAGAGACAGTGAGAGAGAGGGAGAGTCAGAGTAGAATGTGGAGAATGTCTCCAATGATCCTCTTTCTCTTCCCCTCTCCATACCTCTTCCTGTAGAATCACGGGTCTTTCCTCTCCTAGAGCTATCTTCCACAAAACTATTCCTGTTCTGTAAGAGTGACTACTGTGAGATCCCTGGACACAGGAAGCCTATCCCTGAGAACTTCTCTCCTCAGCCCCAGGGCACTGCTCTGATAAACTTGGTCAGTCTAGGAGACATAAAATGTCCATCCTCCTAATCCCTTCTCTCATTTGCTATAAGCAGAGTAACTCCCTGGCTAACAGCCCCTCCAGCCTCACTAAGTAGGTCTAGTTCTATGTGGCCCCCACAGGCAGGCAGCCCTCCTTTTCTGGTGGTATTCCTCCACTGACACCACACCACCACCACACACATACATATCTCAGCTCTGAGAAGCTCTTTCAACCTCTGCAGGAACTACTGAACAGATATAGTGTGCATTTCAGCCTTTCAGTGGAGTAGGACTTCTCTTGACTCTCTGAAGTTATTAGGGGGAAGAACTACATCTAGGAAGATATTTGGCTAGCTGGATAAGAAAGGGCCTTCCTTGGGAAGAGACTTTCAGGTAAAGAGAAATCACGTTATATTCTGAGCCAGAAAAGGGAAGTAGGAGTCACCACAGGGAAGCTGGAACACACATTATCTCCCACTAAGACAAAGGCATAGAAGGACAGGAACAGAAACGGGGCCTTTATGTGGGATGTCATGTCACTGAAAAGCCTCCACAGTCCTTAATTAGCCTGCATTTTCAAGAAATTACTAGAAACCCAGAAAGAATCTTTAATATCACATGAATACGTTTCTTCCTTTTATTTTTTCTGTCATTATCCTGGCTCAGGCTCTTATATCATTCAAGAATTTCCGAACTGGTCTTTGATCTCCAATCCAATCCCTCTTCCTTGCAGCTATCAGTGATCTTTCTACAAAGAAAATCTCAAAGTCTTACTCCTCTGCTTAAAGCCCTTCAACAGCATTCAATAAAGTTTAAATTCCCTTGAAGAGGTCCTTCACTTCCCTTGTTAGCTGTATTAAACCACTGCTCAAGGAAATAAGAGAGGACACAAACAGATGGAAAAACATTCCATGCTCATGGATAGGAAGAATCAATATCATGAAAATGGCCATACTGCCCAAAGTAATTTATAGATTCAGTGCTATCCCCATCAAGCTGCTATTGACTTTCTTCACAGAATTGGGAAAAAAAAAAACCCACCTTAAACTTCATATGGAACCAAAAAAAGAGAAGAGCCCACATAGCCAAGACAATCCTAAGGAAAAAAAAAAAAAAAATGCTGGAGGCATCACACTACCTGACTTCAAACTATACCACAAGGCTACAGTAATCAAAACAGCATGGTACTGGTACCAAAACAGATATATAGACCAATGGAACAGAACAGAGGCTTCAGAAATAATGCCACATGTCTGCAACCATCTGATCTTTGACAAACCTGACAAAAACAAGCAATGGGGAAAGGATTCAGTATTTAATAAATGGTGTTGGGAAAACTGGCTAGCCATATGAAGAAAGCTGAAACTGGATCCCTTCCTCACACCTTACACAAAAATTAACTCCAGATGGATTAAAGATTTAAACATAAGACCTAACACCATAAAAACCCTAGAAGACCATCTAGGTAATACCATTCAGGACACAGGCATGGGCAAGGACTTCAGGACTAAAACACCAAAAGCAATGGCAACAAAAGCCAAAATAGACAAATGGGATCTAATTAAACTAAAGAGGTTTGCACAGCAAAAGAAACTATTACTAGAGTGAACCATCAACCAACAGAATGGGAAAAAATTTTTGCAATCTACCCATCTGACAAAGGGCTAGTATCCAGAATCTACAAGGAACTTAAACAAATTTACAAGGAAAAAACAACCCCATCAAGAAGTGGGCAAAGTATATGAACGGACACTTCTCAAAAGAAGACCTTTATGCAGCCAACAAACATATGAAAAAAGCTCATCATCACTGGTCATTAGAGAAATGCAGATCAAAACCACACTGAGATACCATCTCACGCCAGTTAGAATGGCAATCATTAAAAAATCAGGAGATAACAAATGCTGGAGAGGATATGGAGAAACAGGAATGCTTTTACACTGTGGGTGGTAGCGTAAATTAGTTCAACCATTGTGGAAGACAGTGTGGCAATTCTTCGGGGATCTAGAACTAGAAATACCATTTGACTTGGCAATCCCATTACTAGGTATATACCCAAAGGATTATAAATCATTCTATTATAAAGATATATGAACAGGTATATTTATTGCAGCACTATTCACAATAGCAAAGACTTGGAACCAACCCAAATGCCCATCAATGACACACTGGATAAAGAAAATGTGGCACATATACACCATGGAATACTATGCAGCCATAAAAAAGGCTAAGTTCATGTCCTTTGCAGGGACATGGATAAAGCTGGAAACCATCATTCTCAGCAAACTGGCACAAGAATGAGAAACCAAACACTGCATGTTCTGACTAATAAGTGGGTGTTGAACAATGAGAACACATGGACACAGGAAGGGAAACATCACACACTGGGGCCTGTCGGGGGTTAGTGGACTGGAGGAGGGATAGCAGGGAGTGGGGGGATAGGGAAGGGATAGCATTAGCAGAAATACCTAATGTAGATGACAGGGTGATGGATGCAGCAAACCACCATGGCAAGTGTATACCTATGTAACAAACCTGCATGTTCTATACATGTACTCCATAACTTAAAATATAATTAAAAAAAAAAAAAACTAATGTCTACAAAAAAAGTTTAAATTCCTTAGTTTACATCTTCCAGAATGTGACTGTCTCTCAACCTCATACCTTACAACTCTTTTTGTTCCATCTATCACTGCACCACCACCACTTATTTACTGCTTATTATGTGCCAGGCACCCTGCTAAGACCTTTACATACATTATCCTATCTAATCCTCACAACTCCATTGAGTAGAAATTATTATAGCTTTCATTTACAGATGAAGAGAGTGAAGGGCAGCAAGCTTATATGACTTGTCCAAAGTCATGCAGCTGTAAAGAGCAGAACTAAGATTTGATCTTAGATAGCTGAATCTCATAGCCTCATGCTGTAAGTGCCCTAAGTTGCAATACTTCTTTATTTTTCATTTTATTTTTTGAGATGGAGTCTTATTCTGTCATTCAGGTTGGAGTGCAGTGGCATGTGATCTTGGCTCACTACAACCTCTGCCTCCTGGGTTCAAGCAATTCTCCTGCCTCAGCCTCCCAAGTAGCTGGGATTACAGGAGCCCACCACCACGCCTGGCTAATTTTTTTGTATTTTTAGTAGAGATGGGGTTTCATCATGTTGGCTAGGCTGGTTTTGAACTCCTGACCTCAAGTGATCTGCCCACCTCGGCCTCCCAAAGTGCTAGAATTATAGGCATAAGTCACTACACCCAGCCTGCATATACTTCTTTAACATACTCATGCATAATTCTGTGCTTCCAAAATTCTGTTTTCTCTCTGGTATGCCCTTTCCCTCCAGCCCCTTTCTTTAGCTAAGTCCTACTCCTTCCTCAAAATTCAGATTGAACTTTACCTCTTCTGAGAGGTTTTCCTGACATCCCTGGTCTGGGCTCCCAGAGCACCCTTTGTGAATCTTTGGTGTAGATGTATCAGAAAACTACAACTATAATAAAATGCAGTAAAAACAAAATAACAACAACAACAAAACAATAAATACAGTAATTTGCCCTGACCTCCACCAAACAATGAGATCCCTAAAGGCCGAAATATCTCTTACTCAACTTTATGTCTAATGCTTTGTTTGATAAGTGAATGGATGGATGAATAAACTAATGACTTAAGGTCAATAGATGGAAATTTTAAAAGACATCAAGAGTTTATTCCAATGTATATATGGAATAAGGAAAAAAAGAAATTGAGAAAAAGTAAAAAGCAAATATCAAAATACAAAGGCCAAAGGGTATCCCTGAATAGTTTATGAACTCTCTTGCAAAGTTGAGTTCATTCTCATGGTGGGGAATAGAGACCAAATATTCAAACAGACTCTGCATAGTTGAAAGATCAAAGCTGAGAACAGTATCTTGCTTCCACCAGAGAGCCTCCACAGACAGATGACAGAGGAGCCCAGAACATATCAAGTAAAACAAAGCCCTCAGGAAAACCTGCCATGGACTTCAGAACCAATGGGAAGTTTTATAAATCTTAAAAGGAAGAAGGCTTAAATCCATGGCTGGCACAGAAAATACACTTGGGAATGAGAAGAGGCAGTATGAACAAGATCTTAGTCTTTATTAGGGTACTCCTAGGAGGCTTCACAAATTGGATATATTTACCTAAAGATAAATGTCCAGGAGATTTAGGTTGTCCTGCCATCATTGTTTGTCCAAATAGGTCTATCTCAAACGCCCCTTGTTCTACGTAGCTTTCCCCAGTATCAGATCAAGAATGGGAAAAGACTGTTCTCCTCCTTGGAATTCCTTTAATCTTATCCCTTTTTTAAGGCCCTTCAGACTTCTTTGATAGGAGGTATATATATGTTTATGAGACTGCAAACTTACTGAAGGAGAACTGTGCTCTCCTCAGAGCTGGCCTAGAACAAACATTAAATATATATTTGTTGGACTAAAGGGAATCCACTGCAAATGTATGGTCAGCAGAAACTCGTAAGTCTGGAACTGTAACTGAGTAACTGGGGCTAGAAGTAAGTTCTGGCTTTAAAATAAGTTGGGAGCATGGACAGAGGATACTATTAGAAGGATCTAGGAAAATGTACTAAGTCATTAGGTACTGACTTAGGATGCCAGGCTAAAACAAGTCTCACAGCCTCACAGAAGGATAGGGTCAGCCTCAATAGCCAGTGGATGAATATGCCCGGAAGAACCACACATTTCAGAGAGAAGTGATTAAAGGGAAAAGTAAACCTTCCAGGAGCCAGCAGCTCAGAGAGTCCACTTCAGATCTCAGAGAAAGGCAACCCAGAACTTACCATGGTCCGCATGACTAAGACTAAAGTTAAACTTGAGGGAGAAAAAAAGACTCTGGGATAGACTCAGAATTCACCTACTCAACCCCTGAACTGTGCATGAATTTAGGTTTACTTTCTTCAGCACCATTATTGTTGCCATTTCTGTTCAATTCAGGTATGTCTCATCTTGTCCAGGGGACCCTTTCCATCCACATATCTCACATGGTCCACATGGTTTATACTCCACAACTCACTCACTCTTGAGAACATCAAGTACTTTGTTCTGAGTGCCTTTCCATCACCATCATGAAGGAAAGCTGAGGCTCCAAAGAGCCACTGACAGCTGACCCCACCTGATCCCGAACCTCTTACCAGCTGGTACTGGCGGCTGTATAAGTCATGGCAATTGTTGAAGATATATTCGTATGTGGAGTTCAAACAGGCCTTTACACAATCCTTTACCACCTGGCTAGCTCTTGGCGGGCTTTGCAGTTCTTGTACCTGCCAATTAAAAGAAGAAATATGGGCCCAAGGTCTTGCTTACCTGGGTGGGATATTCTCCTAGCACTACCCCAAACCTACCCTAGATTCTTTCATCCCTGTATGGGTCCCTAGACCTTTCCCTGTGACAAAATTGCCAGGAAAGCTGACAGGGAAAACTTCCAGCCCATCCTCATAGATCTATAGTCTATGTGCTCTCTCAGAAGTAACCCAGGGAACAGGTACACGGAAATGTAAGCTTAGAGGTGGTGAATCCTGTAGCCTCTGACTCTACCCAGTGATTCTTATTCTTCATGTTCCTGCAGCCAGATCTCCAGCCCAGCATCACCCAAGCCCAGTCCACTTCTTACCTTCATTCTGAAGAAAGTAATGCTGGTCAGCAAATCCACTGTGGATTTTAAGTCCTGAAGCCGTTCAGGACTCCCAGCAGGGAAATTATTCTGTTGCAAATCAAGCAAATTTAAGAAAGGAACAGAGGACTATGAAAACCTTCCCTGCCAAAAGTAATGATATCAAAAGCTTCCCTAATTGCTACTCACTGGTATTTTCTCTAGTTGAGCTGGGCAAAAACACTTAATGTTACAGGTCTCCCTCTTTCTTTTCTACTGATACAAACAGGCTCTTGCCAAAAGCAGGGGTTAATACTCCCCACCCTAGAAGGCAACACATCCTCCCTCCAGCCCTACTTCCCATGCAGTGTATAAGCACTTGTACAAAAGAACACACAGGCACACACACACTTATACACATGCTTTTCTTGGATAAAGAGTCTTACACACAAACAGTGAGTTCTTCAAAAGTTACAATCTAACTGTATATCCTGTAATATAAGTGGAGCCACACTACTGACCAAACTGAGGTCCAGGACCTGTACTTTCTGTACAATAGACCCCAGCTCTTCTTCTGTTCTGCAGCCAGCAGATGGCAGATCTCTGAGCAGAGCTGCTTTTGGAGTGAGCTCCTTAGGAATTTCCAGACATCCTTACTTCATTCACTTTGGCACAAGTCTTAGGAGGGAGCTGCCATGAAGAGCTGAAGGGAGATGCTGAGCCTTTCTTCACTTTAATGGTCAGTTTTTTAAACCTTCAAATGGCTACTTATATGTCAAATATAGTACTATTATTTGTGCAAATGGAGGGCACTGGAGTGCAGATAATTAAAACCTCACTTCTTTTTTACTTTAAGGTTGTTTTTATACTTTCTTTTTAATGTGCGTATATTGCCTGTTCTGAAAATTCACAACACTTTAAAGCAAGTAATAAAGCCATTCTAAGATCTAACATAGGAGGAACTGAGAAACCGCCCATTTCCTTAACCTGTCCTGGCCCAGGTGCCCATCCTCCTACTACACCTATTTCCTCCCTTTATCCTAGGAATGGACATGATCTCTGATAAAAATTATTTGCAAAAGCCAAGCTACTCTCTCTCCCCCCAGCCAGATTCTTACACCTCCTCTGGAAAATAAGGAGAGTATGGAAAAATGCAAAAAAGAAATGTAATTAGAAATGTAATTAAGTATCTAATTTTTTAAAAGGTTACTCCTGGAAGAGATTATCCTCAATAAACTCCCTAACGAGAATGTCACCAGAGAGTTTAGTAGGGTGTTAAGAGTGAGGTTAGAAAGCCAACTGTCTATAAAAACCAACCATACACCATGTGCTATTTATACACCACATGAGCCTTGGAGTTAAGAGAACCACAGGTGTCAGCAGCACTGGCCATTTGGGTGGACGTGATGACACAGGCCAGTTTTCCCTGGCCTCAATCTTTATAGCCAAGATTGGCCTACAGTGTCTCTGGGACTACGCTTGACATCTATTATGCTTCCCACAGCCATGTCTTCACTCACCCTGTATGTAGAAAGGTCAATCCTCAGTGAATTGTGCAGCTGGTCCAGCAGTTTTACAAATCTCTCTTTCTGACAGTGAGAAATAATGGGGAAGAAAGAGAGAGCCTGTGTCTGAGTCCTCTAAACTGTAACAGAAACAGAACCACCTCTGGAAGAGTAGACAGAGTGGGGAGGCATTGGGCTGGAGACACAACCCTGCTTGTGGAAAGAACAACAACCAGTGTAAGGGAAAAATGGGATAGACAGTCCCCCTGTTCTATCTCTTTGCAGCTCTGTTCCAATCTGGGAAATCTCACACTGACAAGGAAAAAGCCAAGTCCCTGGGAGGAGAAATGGCTCCTTTTATACAAGAGTCAATGGGGCATGACCAGTGCATCTCTATCCCTTTGGGACTGTAACTTATCTTAGTCAGATAAGAAGAAACTCCAAACACATTCTCCAAATTGTTTCTGAGTCTGAGGTCTCCTGACTTACCTCGGGGTAGTGTGTTAACAGTTATATGGCCACAGCCTAGCAAGATGATGGGAGGGAGAAACTGATGCATTTGAAAGATAATGGGACAGGCATGAGGGGTTTCTCTTTAAACCACATTCCACATTTCCCATAGTGTATACTTTTTAAATGTTAAAATATCTAACATATACTATTTTAATAGCTGATTTTCATAGAAAAAGTATAATTAAACATGGAATCATGTGCCTGCAGGATTTTTGCATCACACTCCTAGAACTCATATATTGATTAGATGAGTAGATATTAAGACAATACATAATGAGATGAGGCAAAATGGAACAAATATTTGACTGGCTTAATAAGTTACATTAATTCATTTACAGAAAGACTCTATCAACAACAAAAAATTCATTAGTACCGAAAACCAAGGCTCACAGACTCAGTGAATTGGGATGATATCAGTAATTTTATGCCCAAAATAGTAATCTTTGTGGTGGTGGGTCAGAAATATTTCATCTGGTTTATACTGAATTAATGTCAGGTGACATTCTGAGGTAATGACTCAACTTCTCAGTACCTTAACCCAGGAAGATCACACCCTGGATAGGGAAAACAGTACAGACACTAGAAAAGGGATAGGTTCAGGTTCAGGTGCATACTGGCATCATTGCTTAGACATCAGTTTCATATAAACTTAAGTAATATGAATCTGTCACAGACAGACTGAACAAGATTAATAAAAGTCTATTTGTGGACCTGCAAGACTGAAGAATATGGAAGAATATGGTAACTCAATCAAGTTGTTGATCCAGAGAGATTCTGGCTAAGCCCAGGTGGCACAACGCCCAAGCACCTTCTCTCCTTTATCTGTGTCTGAGGAGAGGCTATTAGTATAGTCTGCATACCCATAAGGAAACAAGGTTCATCTATAAAGGTGGCAACTATCTGAACTTTAAGTACATCAAGCAACTCTATGGGACCAGTCAAGACAAATCAAATTAATTGGTAACAAATGTGGACATATGTGTTTACATGATACTTACCCCAAAGTTGGAGGCTGCAAAGCGATCAGATGCAGAGACATTGGTAGAGGCAGTTGTGTGGGCATAGTAGGCATTGATGTTGGCCAGTAAGGTGCTCATCACTGCTGGCACACCAGGACACATGTACTTGGATGACAAACATGCGAAGTGCCTAAAAAACACAGCATACTCATCCTCAAAGACTCTTCAGGGCTTGCAGCAAAAGCCAAGCAGGAACTCAATAAAAGTTTATGGGATAAATGAAGCACAGCCAGGGCAATTGCTACCCTCTGCTTGCCTAGGGTTGCTTTCTGTGTACAGCTCTAGGGGCAGCCTCACTGATAGAAAGGTTAACCTGCTTCTCATAGCAATCTGGAATTCCCATTCAAGGAGTCCTGGTCTGCACCATACACAGCGGCTTTCCCTGCAGTTTCGTGTCCTCTTTGACTCCCCGGGCCAGTCTAATATGTGTACATGAGCACACATACCCTGTCTGCTAAGGGCTGTGATGTCTAGACAGGTTTGTCCTTGCATACTCTCGCATGCCTTTTTCCCTGCAGAGTTCCCTCAACTCTGCGGCAGACAGAAATACCTTTTTCTATGAGTTACTGACAAAAACATTCCCATGGTGCATAGACCCCTCCCACACAGCTCAGAGAGGAAAGTAAAGGAATCACTGCATGCTACCCACTAAGGACCTGCCCACCATATCAGTGTGCCTTTATTAGTCACCCCAACGATTAGTGGCCACTTCCCAGAGCCCCAGCAGAGACTCACGTCATGGCCTGATATATGGACTCGATGCCATAACGCATGGCAAATTCATCCACAATTTCTTGGGCTGTCTCATCAAAGTACACCTTCCAGGCATCATCTCCTCGAGCTTCAGGGATGCGGACTCCTCCACCGCCCTGAATGTCTGTGAGGTAATGGAAAAGATTCTGCAGGAGACAGAGCAGAGAAAGGGAATGGGTTAAATACATATGAAAAACAAAAACAAACTTGGTGGTAAGGCCCAGGAGAGTGTGAATAGGGTTCCACAGAAATTCCGTCCTTCCAGTCATTACTCAGTTCCTCCTGTGGCCCCAGTAGGCTGTTCTCCCATTAGTGGAAGAGAATGCAGTCTGGGTTCAGTCACTTGGGCTCTCCAGGGTAGCAGAGTGAGTCAAGGACGAAATTTAAACTGGGCCTCAGATCCCCAACCATCTAATGATCCTACTTATGGCCAAAGGCCTCTCTCAGCACTGCTTTCTGATCCCCCACCTACCAAGGGCTGGCTTACCTCATGGAGACATGTATACTGCACATGGTACGGGGCTACTTTCTCCTCCCCCTTGATCTCCACACTGATTTGTAGTCGGATAGCCCCTGAGACGGCCGATTTGTCTGTCCTCTTCTCTAGGAAGGAAAGAAGACTAGAGATTGACACCAGTGCAACTAGACAGCATAGATAGTCTCATTCTGGCTTAACCCAAGGAAAAGAAGAGGTCAACCCAAGGACTCAGAAAATAGGGTGAATCGCTCCAGTGACCACATATTCCACAAGTACCTTGGAACTAGCTGGGTGGGAGAACAGAAGTGTGCAGGGGGAACAAAGGCACTAGTATGAAGATTAAAGGGCCTTCTGAAACCTAGAGAACGTTCAGCCAGAGTGAGTCGTAGCCACCGCCACTCCTCTGTCCCCTATCCCTCCCCACAGTCAGTTCTTTGCAGGTGAGACAGGCTCTGTATAGAGACATGCTTTGGGGACAGATGGTGATTTTGGTAGAAAGACTATTCCCAGGTCCCCTTCAAGCTCTCCCTTCTCAGCAACTTTCTCGAGTCCAGTTTCCTCACCCAAGTTGTACCAGACATCCATCTCGCCACTTAGCGTCCGAACCTCAATGATGGTTTGGCCTAGGAAATCATCAGATTCTCGCTTTAGGCGTTGCTTTACTCTTGACTTGATGTCATCATCCTCATCCCACACACGCACCTTAATGCGGTCAGAGGAGTTGTGGCACTCACTGTGAGAGAATTAGGCAGGCTCTGTTAGGGACAGACCCAGTAGCGCTGATTCCTGTTACTTCCTATTCCCTCCCAAAAGCTCCATCAACTGCACTTGAGACCCTTGAAGAGCAGAAGTCAGAGGACAGCAGTACTAAAGTTCCAAGCAAGGTGGGCTATCCCAGCAAACAACTCTTCATTCCTTGGCCTGGGTGGCTTTATCTACCACTATACGGTTCTCATTGTCCTAGAACAAAGGGCAAGGGGTGGAGGGAAGAGTAATTAAGGTCAGTTCTGACTTCCTGTACAGCTAGCTGTATCAGTGACACCAAGAGGAAAATAGCTAGATATGCCACAGAGCTCGAGGAAGCAACTGCTAGCACCATCCTCGGAGCCCAAGATACAAAGTCAGTAAAGGTGCTAGACATGTTCATGGTAGGCCTACATGGTTATATCTGTTCAGCTTTCTATCTAACTCTCCCATCTGCCTAACTATGTGCTTGGTGAGCTTCTACATTATCCTATCATATCCCATTGAATTGTCATCTCCTCTAACGGGGTTGCTTTGGAGAAAGGAGCTTTCCCAGGTCTTGTCTTATGCTCTCCTCCCCAACAGTTAATATCTGGGTTCTGTTGTTTCACCCAAAAGTTGTAACTGGCAAAATTTGCTGTTCCTTTCCCTATGTTCTTATGATATCTTTCCACATTCCATTAAAATATTTCAATATAACTACTGCTCTATGGGAAGGTAATAGACAAATCAACAATGAGTGTCTTGAAGCCACGGATTGTCCTATTCATTTTTAGACATCATGTATAGTGTCTTGTACAGAGTATGAACTTAATAGTTTACTAAAAGTGGGCAAAAATGGCCAAGAGCCAGTTCATTTTAAATTACTCATAAGAAGAATTCAAGCAGAACTATTCAGATTCTCAAAGAAACAGGTGCTTCTCCCAGTAGCTATTAATATTATCTCTGGATTAGAGATTAATTTTACTATATCCTAATCCCTTTCTTTTTCTTTTTTTTTGAGATAGAGTCTCGCTCTATCGCCAGGCTGGAGTGCAGTGGCGTGATCCCAGCTCACTGCAACTTCTGTTTTCTGGTTTCAAGCAATTCTCTTGCCTCAGCCTCCCAAGTAGCTGCAACTACAGGCACGTACCACCATGGCTGGCTAATTTTTTGTATTTTTAGTAGAGACAGGGTTTCACCATGTTGGCCAGGATGGTCTCAATCTCTTGACCTTGTGATCCGCCTGCCTCAGCCTCCCAAAGTGCTGGGATTACAGGCATGAGCCACTGCGCCCAGCCTAATCCCTTTTTCCCTTCCTTCCTCCCTCCCTCCCTCCCTCCTTCCCTTCTTTTCTTTCTTTGTTGAGACGGAATCTTGCTTTGTTGCCAGGCTGGAGTGCAGTGGCATGATCTCGGCACACTGCAACGTCCACCTCCCAGGTTCAGGGGATTCTCTTGCCTCAGTCTCCCAAATAAGCTGGAACTACAGGCTCCTGCCACCATGGCTAGCTCCTTTTTGTATTTTTAGTAGAGATGGGGTTTGGCCATGTTGGCCAGGCTGGTCTGGAACTCCTGACCTCAGGTGATCCACCTGCCTCTACCTCCCGAAGTACTGGGATTACGGTTGTGAGCCACCGTGTCAGCCCTAATCCTTTTCTACGTGAATCTTTGGAGGAGCCAACAGAAGGAGGCCTCTACATAGCCAGCCTGCCTGGCTGATTCAGATCCAAAATCCTGACCCTAGGCCTTATTGGGGAATGACAAAGCCTTTGGATTCTCCAGACATTAGTTTGCCATTTTTCAATAACCATCATTTACTGTCATAAGAAATAGTTTATAAGAAAGTAAGATAATGAAAAAATAAGTGAGGGTGGAAGCTAGGTAGGAAGAAATGCTTCCCTTATGGGAAAAAGCAACTTCTTCAGAACCCACATTCCCAAATTCAAGCCAGAATTACCCAGTTTTAGGACAAGGATACTTTCTCCCCACTCCTTTTAAGAGCCTTCCCTATGAAAGCCTAACCCTACTATACCATCCTAGGCAATGGCAGGAGGTACAATAAGGCAGTCAGTCCCTGGTTCTGTCACTGAGCAGTAAAGTAGTAAGATCTTTCTAGTGCTAGAAAAAGCAGGATGGAGTGCCCTAAGGCCCCTTTAATAGCCCTGGTGAAGACAGGGCATGGGCACAGTAACCCTGACACAACAGGTCACAAGAAGAAAACCAGAGAAAGAATGGCTGATGCCTAAGTGAAGCATGAGAGAAATGGCTTTTTTCCCCTGCCTTTGCCCAATCTTCAAGCTCAAGTCCGGAATGACAGGATATGATACTGCTCCCCCAGTACATACAGTCCCAGGTAAGACAAAGCTCTCTGTGACTTACAAATGGAACTTTTCCTCCCAAACAGGATTCAAGTTTCCAAAAATGGTCTTGGTACGCTTCTTGGTTTTGCCAACTTGCACAGTCACATACGGGTCACTGGATCCTGTTTTGTCTTTGGCTTGTAGGCCTTGGGCACACACCACTGCAACCCAAGCATATATAGGAGGCTTCAGAGTAGGTCAGAAGCCCTCGACAGCACTACTCATATGCTCTATGCAACTTGCACAGAAACCGTAATCCCATTCCTCCATATTTATTCTTTGTCCTGGGCCACCAGTCTTTCCCTCAAAGCCCAAGCATCCCATCTCCCTACCCAAGCCTTAATTGACAACTTATCTCTACATTGGTCCTTATACCCTCTGATATATACACGCTTCAGCCCTACCCAGTTATTAAACTGGTTAACTACTCCCTGGCCCCTGTCCTTCCCCTTCCCCTCCCTCCACCTCTTATAATATGAAACTGTTAGCCAAGTCTACAGCATTAGGTTGTTAGCAAATCCTTGCATTATGATTCATGTTGTTTGCAGATAGCAGTATTGCCTCTCCTGGCACCAAGGTCTAGGTAAGGAGGAGTGATAAATAATGAGTCCTTTCCTTCCCAGTGATTTCCTTTTTCTTTCTTCCCAATTGTTTTCTCACGCTCAGGATGCTTCTTCCCCAGTCTCCTCCCCATAGCCGAGGCCTTCCTGTCCTCTCAGACTCTGGCCTGCTCACCCGTAATGGTAATCTTGGCCGACCATTTGGAGGTGCCATCCAGTACACTCTGCTTCACTGTTTTCATCTGCTGCACATGGGCAGTTTTGTTCACTGTGAAGACGTCCCGGATAACTTCAAAGATCTCTGGCTTATTTCGCTCTCGGATCTTCATGCGGTCCTTCATGGCCATGATAATGTTCTGAGTCCGGTCCTCAGCTCCATGTTTACAGCTCTTTTCTGCAGCCCCTGAAGAGTGGCCAGGCACAGAAATTAGGATTAAACAACAGGTCGCCTACCAGACCAAGAGTCGAGCTGAGGAATGGGGCCTGGGAGAGGCTGCAGGGCAGTAGAGAAACTAAGGGGGGCTGGGATATCTCTGGGAAATGTTAACATTATGGGGCCTGCTGCCTGGCCAGTGGAATTTTAAAATGCAATTCAGAAGGTAGCAATTTCTTAATAATTGTTACGGGGTTCATTATAGCATTCTAGTATATCTTGAAATCTTTTGCCAACTCTTCAACTCTAAGGTCAAAATATCACAAAGAGTGTCTCAGTTATCACAGACGGATGATGGGTGGGTACAACAGCACCACCAATCTCATCCAACTGCCAAGCATGATTCAAACCCCAGAATTTGTCATGGCACACAGTTAGCTTCTGTCCTATGGCTCCAGTGCCTTTAATCTCAGAAACTAGTGTGGTATGGTGAGAAAAGTATAGTCTTTTGTGTCAGACAGACTAGAGTTCAAATCCTGGTTCCACCGTTCCTAGCTTGGTGAACTTGGCTTCTTCTAAGAGGAGATAATAGTGCTTACCTCTCTAGTAAGCATTATTTTACATAGCATATATAAAGCATCTAGCCCAGGGCCTGGCAGTTAGCAGGTATGCAATAATGGTCACTATTATTATTATAACCATCATTATTACCCTGACAGGGCCAAAAGCTATCTTTACCAGCCATGGCCCCAGCTAGCTTTCTCACAGGCTAGCAGGCTTTTCCTGCTGTCAAAGGATCATGACAGAACACAGACTCCAGTTCATTTCACAAACCAGGCTTGTCTGAGGAGCAGGTGGGGTGCCATTCTTCCTTTACTGGTACTGCAGACTGGGTCTTGCCTTTCTCTCTAGTCCCCAAAGGCTTAGTCCTTTACTCTAAAAAGTTGAGCAAAAAATAAAGGCCAACATTTGTGTACTAACCCTGGGAGTATAGAAAACAGGTTTTATGTCCAGGGAGGCCCATAGAAGGGCATTTCATTCCACCCTGTGCATCACAGAAGCCTTAGGCAAAAGATATTCTCTGATAAATGGAAAATTATCTGGGCTGCATCCTACTCTTGCCATTTAGCATATCCCATACAAGGCACTACTTCCCTGGACTGAGACCTCTGAAAGGCTGTTAAGAAGCTAGGTACCCTGGCTACAGAGCAGCACTTTTAAGCAACCAGCCTATGCAGCCAACCTGGTTGCTAGTTCTCAGCAATTAAGGCAAGAGCCCTCTGGCACCTGCGCTTGCCACCCCTTCATGATTTGTTCTAGCCAAGTCATTACTGGCATTTGTCTTCAGGCAGTCTTTTCAAAGACCTATCTCTTCTGCTGACTCTGTCTTACCTGTCTCTTCATGTCTAACTTAGCCATGCCACTGGCACCAGTCTGAGGCTCTTCAAAGGACATTTTCCATAAATAATTTCTCAAGGCTTCTCCCTGGTCCCTGTTTATATGTCATAGCTGTCCTTGGGATAATGAAGTACTTGTGGGTCTAAAGGTAAACTTCCCTTTCCCTAGCACAATCCTTAAAGTTTTATTGCTATAGCTTGGCTTGTGGGTAATACCTGGGAGGTTTGGAGGGCAGGAAAATAATAATTTCCCACTTTTTCCACCCCTGCTTTTCCTGGGGTCCAGCCGCATGAGTGCAAGCCCAGCAGAAGGGGAGCAAGGAGATATGAACTTTGAGCCCTAATTCATTTTCTCTGATAAGAACTTAAAGCTTTTCCTGCTCCTATTCTCCCCACTCCATCATGGCAGGACAAGTCATATATTTAGCCAAGGCCACGGGGGTCTGGCATACTCTCCTTCTGGGCCTCTGCCAGATCCATTTGACAATTCTATTCCTGGCACTATTGTCTAAAAGCAAGCAATGAATGCTGTCTTCTCTGAGTCCTAGACTCTAGGCTTCAGGAGGTTCCTCTGTGGGGCCTGGAACCCCACAAAACTCAATTTCTTTCCTTTCATTAGTCTCAGATCCTGATTAAACATGCTTTTGTCATTTAGACAATAAGGTTGCTGTGGTATATATACTACAAACCTCAGTCTCTGGAATCAACTGAATCCTAGAAAAGATTCTAGCTACACCAGAAGGCCACAGAAAGCTCAAAGAACTTTTCCTAAAGGTGCTAGAAGAAGATAGTGTAAGACCTATTATTTGGAAAGGCATTGCCCCTTGATTGAGGACTATACCTTCTCTGAAAAGGATAAGGTTTCAAAATCAGGTGGACTTGGGGAATGATTGGTTCAGCTATCCCAGCTCTTTGCTACAGACTATTTTGGAGAGCTCCTGCTGCCCCACCTCCCGCCCCTCATCCCGCAGGGTACTCACGCTGCAGGCAGTCAGCATTGAGCAAGTCCTGGCACTTCTCATGGCATTTGACTCCACACTCGCTGCAGCGCATGCCCTGCCGGGCAATGCCCCAGAGCAGGCCTTCACACTCATAGCAGTAGGTTGGGGTAGTGGCTGTCCAGACCTCAAAGTTGTGAGGAGTGGTGCAGGAAATGGGGTAGATTAAGGCCTGCAGGGTTTTCTTATACACATGGGATTTCTGAAAGACACATAACCCATCCCATGACTTTTTTCCCCTCAGAGACAGAGTCTTGCTCTGTTGCCCAGGCTGGAGTGCAGTGGCATGATCTCTGCTCACCGCAACCTCCACCTCCCAGGTTCAAACAATTCTCCTGCCTCAGTCTCCTGAGCAGCTGGGATTATAGGTGCGCACCACCACATCCAGCTAATTTTTGTATTTTTAGTAGAGATGAGGTTTCACCATGTTGGCCAGGCTTGTCTTGAACTCCTGACCTCAAATGACCCACCTGCCTCAGCCTCCCAAAGTGAGCCGAGGCATCACAGGCATGAGCCACCATGCCTGCCACCCATGACTTCTGGATTCTGCAGGGAGAGAACTGAGACCCTGTGGGACAATTACGACCTTGATTTTGTGTCTCCTCTGGCAATGGAGAAGATGCTCTATCCTGGCCCAGAATTACAGAATGAGGCCCAAATATAGTGTGCTCCTGGTTGTCCAAAACATTTTGGACCTGATGCTGGATCTGAGCCTTGTTCCAGTATTCACACTTTCTAAGAAAACAGAAGGTCCTAGGCCCTTCATAAAACCCTTGAGTTCAGTGGTCACACCCTTCAATATGAGACCCGGGCTTACCCTCTGATCTAGACTCTCTTGTCTTTCCCAGTGTGGAAAACTAACACGTGATGCTATCTATCTTTTTCATCAGCATTGTATGCCCAGCCCTCTTGAATTCCCAGAATTCCCAATTATCAAATAGTATGGCTATAGAGATTATCAGAGTCCTGAGGCCAGTGGACTTACCAAAGCACATGGGTCACTTACCAGCTCTTCATCCTTAAGAGAAGTGCGTGTAGCCATTGCAGAAGTGATTCCTGCCTTCCGGGACTGGACCAGTGACTGTGAAGGAGGATCTTCTGTTAGCCCTGACCACCACCAATGGCTGGCAAAGTTCTGGGGAGGGAGCTTCAGTGATAAAAGCCACTTGACTATAGCTTACTACAGTACTTTCTATTTTTATTGTCACTCACAGCAACTGCCCTAACAGGTAACAAGTGTCCCAGGTTAAGATGCAAAACCCAAGGCCCTCAGGGGGCTACCCTAACTATTTTAGAACAGTACTTTCTTCAGGATATCTATCATCCAAAGAGTTTCTTTTTCCCTCATTCTTCTTAGGTGTCCTATCCCACAGAAACTCCTTGTTTATGGGAAGGCAAAGGAAAATGAAAATCTTAGAACTACAGTAGGAAACAAGGAATTAAGAATAAGAGACACATACAACTCTGTCCAGAGTCACATTCAAGAGTCATTATTGAGAAAAATGATTCCATGCTAAACTCTATCCCCTTGGCACCTCCCCAAGCCCACATAATCCCTGGGTGGCTGCAGAGGCCAGGAGGCCTACAAGCAGGGCACTTGGCAAGTAAAAGGGGCATTGAATACTCAGTCAAATTAAGGACAAGGAGTTAAGTCTGAGAGCTGGGGCTGCCTTGCTAGCCACTCTCTTGCATACAGGGGCCCCATGTGTCTGCCAAGGCCAAGCTTTAGGGGCAGCCCGTGAAGAGGCACATGGTTATCTAAAGGCAGAGAACACTGAAAAGACAGAAATCATAATATCAGCCTACGCAGGAGGAACAGCTGGGAAGGGCCCAAGTGATCTGGGATGTGGACTTTTAAAGAGGATGGGAAAGGGCTTTGGAAACACTCACCATAGCCTGTGTAGAGGACAGCAGAGAAAGAACAACATGATGTTAAAGCCTTGCAAGGGCATGAAAACTTTCAGAGGCAACTGAAAGGTTCTTCCCTATAGTCCAAAGCAGGGAGCATTTCCCAACCCACTCTGCTTCTGTCCCCTAAAAACTGTCTTCAACCCAGACTGCTGGCCAGGACTCAAAGCCTAGAGCACCTACTCTAAGGAGTATTATGCCATAAAGCCAAAGATAGGTAAGGACAAAAAACAGAGAGGGAAAGCAAGAAATAAACTAGATACTTGCTGGTGGGCAAGCAGTGAGAAAGGATGAGAAAAAAAGTAGGAAGAAGAGGAAGAGAAAAAAGAGGAGATGAGAGACAAGGAAAGAAAAATGGTATGAAAGAAGAGATGGCATCAAAATTTATCTTCAAATGGCTAGATGAAGAGCTGGTGGAAGAAGGGGTATATCAGAAAGGAGGGGTCAGGCACAATGGTTCACGCCTGTAATCCCAGCACTTTGGGAAGCTGAGGCGGGAGGATCACTTGAGCCCAGGAGTTTGAGACCAGCCTGGGCAACACAGTGGGACCCTGTCTTTATTTA